CCCCCCATCCCCTTTGGTCATCCTCCCGGTTCCCCTTAAAAAATTATTAAAAACCCTAATTAAAAAACCCCTTAATCCCCGCTTTGAAACATGCCACCTCTCAGGGCTCCAAAGCCCGTCCTTAAGGTAGGCCTTTGATAACGTGGAAGGCCATCGCCGCGAGAGGGGGGCATCTCGCAGCGCAAGCAGGTCTGTCGTGGTATAAGCCATACATAGATGAGAGGTAAAAAAGTCTGGTCAGGAGTTTGATAAATAGTCTAAGATGTTGGAGCAAGATGGATCTCAAAGCAGGTAGCTGGACTCCACTGCCCTCTCACTGCAGTGGGAGGAGTCCCGTGTCATTTCATCAAGATTGGACGTAAGAATCCAAGCCACCCTCTCACGGTGGCTAGCCCAGATGGAAAGGGCTTAGGAAAGTTAGATGGTCTATTCCTCCATTGGTGAAAGGCAGCAACTCCCTCAGCTCCCGCATGACAGTTGCCCAGACACCCTCCAGCTTGGGGCTCAAGATGAAAAAGGAGCCAGACCATAGAGGCATGATGTTATTAAACCCGAGGGAGAGAAGATGTTCAAAGGGAGGGATAACATACAGCTGGATACAATCTGGAGGCGGGGAGCCGAAGACCAAGTCAAGGGCATGGGGGAGGGGGGGGAGAGATCAATCGAGGCGACCAGATGACCAGTTTTTTGGTCGCACTCCAGCCTCTCCAACCCCCAGGACTTCATAACACCCCCTGATTGTATCTCCCGCCTCCAGTCTCCAGCCCCCAGGTCAGATAGTCTATTCCAGATATTAATGGTAAGGCCAGAAACAAAGCGGCCATATCTCCCCTCATTCTTCGCTGCTAAGCACCAGGCCGCCGCCGCCATCGTCTCGCCATCGAGCCACAGCCGCCATTGCCGCCTCAGCTGCCATCGTCGATGCCGTCTGGAACCCGGCCCCTCGGCACATCCCAGGACCACCGGGACAACATCCAGGGCCTGGGAGGGGAGGGCCTGCTCCATGCCACCACCGCCGCGCCCACAGCTGCCGCCGCTCCGGCCTCCGCGGCCTCCGGCGCAGAAGAAGGCTGTCATGCTCCCGCGGCGCCTCCCGCGTCGGCTCCGCCCAGCCGCAATATTCCGGAGGGCGAAAAAAGCCCTCAGCAGGCTGGGCAGGGCTCCCACGACAGGGGCCGGGGCCGCCCCGGCCTCCGCGGCCTCCGCCGAAGAAGACTGCCGTACCCAGGCCGCCATCCTCCCGCAGCGCCTCTCGCATCGGCTCCACCCAGCCGCAATGCTCCGGAGGGCGAAAAAGCCCTCAACAGGCTGGGCAGAGGCTCCCACAGCTGGGGCTGGGGCTGCAGATGGTCAAGTCAGCTCCCCAGACCCCCAAATGACCAGAAACCGTCCCATCATCGGGCGGATCTCACATGGACAGTGCCATCTTGGGGCATGCGCAGAAGATCCTGTATGAACCTCTCTTATCATTGCACCAGGACTAGACCTCTCTTGCCCTCAGCTGACAATCAGGAAGCACTTCTGTGTCCCTATAGGGCCGTTACAGATTGTGTACAGGTAGTCCTCGACTTACGACCACAATTGTGCCCAAATTCTCTGTTGTTAAGTGAGACATTTGTTAAGTGAGTTTTGCCCCATTTTATGACCGTTCTTGCCACAGTTGTTAAGTGAAACACTGCAGTTGATAAGTTAGTAACACAATTGTTACTTCCCCATTAACTTAGATGTCAGGTCGCAAAAGGGGATCACATAACCCTGGGAAACTGCAACAGTCATAAATACATGCCCAAATTTTGATTATATAACCATGGAGATGCTGCAAGGGCCATAAGCGTGAAAAATGGTCGTAAGTAATTTTTTCCTTTCCATAGTAACTTAGGACAATCACTAAATGAATGGTTATAAATTGAGGACTATCTGCATAGCTCTTTTTGCCTTTTTTTAAAAGTATAAACCAGTTGTCAAGCATCTGAACTTTGATCATATGCCTGTGGGGATGCTTCAAAAGTTTTGTAACTGTGAAAAATGGTCCCAAGTCCCTTTTTTCAGTGCCGTTGTAACTTTGAATGGTCACTAAATGGACTGTTGTAAATGAAGAACCACCTGTGCAAGAACAAGCAGTGAAATGTGATTATTTTTTAGAGAAAAATTTCATGTTGACAATGTTCATATTGATGGAAAGAAGTGACCAAATGTTGTAAGCATTTGTCTGTATAGATTTCTATTTTAAAATGTATAAAAAAAGTCAACTCGAGAAACTGTTGTTTCTCGAGTTGTGGAAATTTAAAAATTACGTGTGCCTGTGGCTAAAGTACTAATGTTCAGACTTTAAATCCTGATACCTATTAATAGCTCAACAATACTGCTTTTAGCAAGGCTTTGATGCAGACTCTTCTGTAAGCCTTCCTCCCGTAATGGTTATTATTGTCTAAAGATCCAAGTCAATTAGAGTCCTGTTAATTTGTGTTTCGTGTGCTTTCCAATTCCTGATTTCAATTTAGAAAAAAAAAAATCCAAAATAGAGGAGACAATGATATATATATATATATATATATATATATATATATGTATGTATGTATGTATGTATGTATATTAGTCCATCCTCTGTATTAAATACCTTTTCGTCTTCTCATTGAGACCTGGAATACTTTATATCTCTCCAAACAGCTAAAATAACACATGCCGTCCTGTAATATACTAATTTCCCTTTGAGCTCTGTAATTGTAATATATCTTGCTTGCCCATTACAATAGCAGAAGATCAAAAGCCAAAAATAAACAGCGTAAGATAAGCCAGAGTATAATTATCAAGAATGTCAAAGTTGTTCTTCAATGTTATTGCTGGGGGTCAAAGTAGATTATGGTTTATCTGTTTAAAATTTTCTGTTATTTTAATGACTTTTCTTTTCTTAATCATCAATTCCCTACTATTAAATTTCACCTGTATTGTTTGATTTAGTATGAAGCATAAAAATAAGCTTTGCAGAGGTGCTGGATGAGTCTGTGATCACCATGGAGATAATGGAAGAGTAGAGTAAAATAAAACTCCCTCAAATAAAAAGAATAATTAACAAACCCAGATTAAACATAGTTTACCATGTTAAAATTATTAAAATGAAAAATTGTCTATATTACGCATCCATCCTTACTGCCATTTTACTAAAAGTTCCTACTTTTTCTTAGAATTTGCCTTGACATACTTTTTTCCTCTTTTAAGGCTGAGCTAATCTTTTTTTGAAACAAATAAGGATGAAAAGGAACCAATCCTACAAATGCACGTTTTCTATGCAAAATTTCCTCTTATAGGTCACAGGTATCAAACTTGATGATGTCACGTGCCGTGACGTATCATGACTTTTTTGCCTTTGTGGAGCTGGGGTGTGTGTGTGACATATCTGACCCGTGGGCTGTCAGTTTCACAGGCCTATTATAGATGGTTTGTTCATGTGCTAATTGTAAAAACGTTAGCACTCTGTGGCTAATGAGAACTTCCTTTCAGTGAGTCCCATCATGTCCTTTGTAAGGTATAAAACTTGCTTCCTAAGGTAGCCACAGGTTACCAGCAATTATTTGCAGGTGAGGAAATGAACTTTCAATCTGTTTCTTAGAAACTCAGACACCCCAACTTTGACACGGAGTCCATAAGAACATGAACCCTGAATTTGAGAGAGTCATTTTCATTTTTGTAAAGGAGATTCTTTGCCTTCCAAAAATTCAAATCACAATGTACACAGGTAAAACAAAAAGCCTTTATGGGGACGGGAATCAGGCATTTTTATAGGGTGCACAAACAAATGTATTTGGATACATCAGAAGGCAAATGATCAAACAATAAAAGATATTGATTACAGGTAGTCCTCAACTTACAACAATTCCCTTAGTGACAATTCAAAGTTACAACACTGAAAAAGTGACTTACGATTGTTGCAGACTTATGACTCATAGCCACGTGATCAAATTTCAGACGATTGGCAACTGACTCATATTTATGATGGTTGCTGTGTCCCAGTGTCATAATTGCAACCTTTTGCAACCTTACAAGCAAAGTCAAAGGGAAATCAGATTCACTTAACTGTTACTAATTTAATAACTGCAGTGATTCCCTTAACAACTGTGACACAAGAGGTTGTTAAATGAGGCAAAACTCACTTAATAACTGTTTTGCTTAGTAACCAAAATTTTGGACTCAATTGTGGTTGTAAGTCTAGGACTACCTGTACACGTCAGACTTGAAAAACAGAAAACATAAATTCTACATAATCTTCCAAGTGGCAAATTTATAGGTTTCTCTTTCCTGGTTGGGATTGTATCCTTTAGATTAGCAAGTATAATCATGGACTTTCAGAATATACTCTCTATTTGTTCCCTATGCCATTATCCGTCTAGTAAACTTGCAGGGTTTGTTTTTTTTTGCCATACATCCGAACTAGACTGTTGGTTTCTCCATGTCATATATGTGGGTATATGCATAATTTTGTATTTGTTTACTTTGTCATGTTTATGTAGTGTATATTGGAGGTGGTGACCCTTTGAGAGCTGCATGCAACGAAATTTCATTTTAATGTATGCCGATTAGTGTACATTCAAAGCGACAATAAAGTTATTCTAAGTCCCTATTGTTCAGTTGCTGAAAAGGCAAAGTTTTTTGCACCTAAAATATGGGCTTTGGCTAAAAAGAAAGCATGGTTTCCTGAATTTCAGATATAATATTATTATTTTTTTTAATATAAATAATATTATGTGTATTTATAATATATTTATTAAAAACCTAAAATCCCAGGTAGTAAACCTGGTTGCCAACGAGCTCCCTCACGATCGGCTGGCCTGCCTCGGAGCCACAACCAAGGCCGCCCCCCCCCCACACCCCCCACCATCCCGGCTTTGACAGACCCCATGATTACAGGCTCCCCCCCCCCGACGCCCCCCCCCCACCCCGGCAGCCTCAAGCCGCGCATCCTGCTGGGCATCCGGCAGGGGGCGTCCTTCTCCGTCGTCGTCGTCCTGCTTTCCCTCCGTTTCCTCAGCAGCGCTGGCCTCTCGCCTTGGGCGCCGCTTCCGCGACCGAGCCGTCGTGGCGGGTGGGCCGAGTGTCAAGAACCGAAGGAGCAAACGGGCCGGCGCCAGGATGCCGTTGGGCCTCAAGCCGACGTGCAGCGTCTGCCGCACCACTTCCTCGTCCATGTGGAAGAAAGGCGGGCAGGGCGAGATCCTTTGCAACAACTGCACGGGCCGTTCAGGGCCGCCCGCCTCTGGGGCAGCTTCTTACGCCGGCACCTCCGCGGCCTCGCAGCACAGCAACGGCGGCGGCGGGGGAGGAGGAGGAGGCGGCGGCGGCGGCGGGAATAGCGGGGGTGGCGGCGGGAAGCAGGTGAGGTGCTCAAGGAGCCGCCCCGAAACAATCGGTCGCCGCGCGGTTTACTTTTTTTAGGCAGAGCTGCCTGAGGTTAGTCCGGCTCTGAGGGCTGCGGGCCTCGACCTTCTCCCCTCCACCCTCCCTTCCCCTCCATCCAGTCTTTGGATTAAGGACTTTCTCAATCGCCAAGCAGCGAGGAAACTGGGTTTTTTAAAAAAAATAAATAAAAAAAATACGTTGAATATTCATATATCATTGCAGGTTGTGGTTATAAATCACGCTAGTTTGCGTTAGCGGCCACGTTTACATGCGGTTGGTTTGGCTTCTCCCAGTAACTAAGACGGGGAGCATTACTGTTTAATGTAGTACTGTAATTAATTAATATTTATTTATTTATTTGTCAAGCATATATAAGATAACAGGTAAACATAACTTGAATACATGAAAAGAGTAAGTAATAAGGAATATTATAATGATTTTAAATGCATTGTGAGCCGCCCTGAGTCTTCCGAGACGAGCGGCATACAAATTGAATAAATAAATAAATATTAGGACAGGGACGGTAGGCACCCTTTATGCACTTTAACTACTATTTAAAATACACACCGAAAAGATACCCTTCATTTTTTTTGTTTTTGTTTTTAAGTATAAATGACTAAACATTGGAAAGTGCGCTCCAGGTTAGTCCAAAATACGGTAGAAGACATTGAAAAAAAGTTTGTTGCATCTGCTGGGATCTAAAAACTCAAGGTTGACTCAACCTTCCATCCTTCCTAGGTGGGTAAAATTGAGGACCCAGATTGCTGGGGGCAATAGGCTGACTCCAGAGGTGGGTTTCAGCAGGTTCTGACCAGTTCTGGAGAACCGGTAACGGAAATTTTGAGTAGTTCGGAGAACCCGTAGTAAAAATTCTGACTGGCTCCCATCTATTCTCTGCCTCTTGAGTCCCAGCTAATCAGGAGGAAATGGGGATTTTGCAGTAACCTTCTCCTGGAGTGGGATGGGAATGGAGATTTTACCGTATCCTTTCCCTGGAGTGGAATGGGAATGGAGATTTTGCAGATCCTTCCCCTGGAGTGGGATGGGAATGGAGATTTTACAGTATCCTTCCCCTGGAATGGGATGGGAATGGAGATTTTGCAGTATCCTTCCCCTGCCATGCCCACCAAACCACGCCCACAGAACTGGTAGTAAAATTTTTTGAAACCCATGACTCTATAAACCGCTTAGAGAGGGCTGTAAAAGCACTGTGAAGCGGTATATAAGTGCTATTGCTATATGTTTCTATTCAGAAGTCCCATTAAATTCACAGGTGTACTCTTTCTCTCTCTCTGTGTGTGTGTGTGTGTATGTATGTATATGTTAGGGTTGCAGTCTTAATTGTGAATGAGTGCCCTTTTCACTTGGGAATAAAATCTCAGTCATGGGGTTGAGGTATGCCAGTTTGCTTAACTTTTTTTTTTTTAACTAAGTAACCACAATTATATGACTTCATATATACTAAGCCACAGACAAATAAATATACTGCGTGGAACTACTAATTTTGTGGAAACAGCTCCCTGTGGATGATCCCACTCCTTTATTGATCTTTCAAAAACTCTGGAAAGCTAAGTTGCTTTAGAGAAACTTCTATTTTGGGATGTTATTGTTCTTTGTATTGTGCTGGTTTATTGTTACTACAGAGATTAACTAATTTTTCATTTTATAATTTGGCTGTTAATGAATTCTTTTTTTGTTTGTTTGTTTGTTTGCCGCAGAGAGTCTTTTTGAAGGGTGGTAAGCTAGTCATATGTTTAGATAGATGGATAAACAGATAATGAAGTACATGAGGTAGGATATTGGGATATTTCCCAGAATTCATGGAAATGATTGGAAATGATTTCTGAGAATTGCTGAAGCTGCTGGCACTGTGTCTTGTTTTCTTATGAGTCATTTTAACCTATGAGGAAAGCATGAAAAATATTTTTCATTGAAATTACTGAGATGTGCTTTCAAGTAAATAAGTTTTGAATAGGAACTTAGTTTGTACCTTTTTCACCTGTTACACTTTACTTCATGTTTCTTTTTAAATATGCATAATAATATAAATGGAATTCAAACTAACACTTTCTAAATATTTCTTATGTTTCATATGCCATAGAGTAAGCAAGAAATTCACAGAAGATCTGCTCGATTGAGGAACACAAAATATAAATCTGCTCCTGCTGCTGAGAAAAAGGTTTCCACTAAAGGAAAAGGGAGAAGGCATATTTTCAAATTAAAAAATGTAAGGAGATTGTGGGTTCTTGTTACTGTTAAGCATTTACTAATACCAGCAAGACTTAAACAGTTTAAAAAATTCTTGATATGTTTTCTATCATGATCAACAGTTTTCTGTAGAAAAACAACAAATAGTCAAAATCTATTTTTATATATGTACTTATAGATGCATAAGTTTAAAATACTATGATATGTATGATATGTGTGATGGATGCTCATTCCTCGGTATACATATTGCACCAAGCTATTATTATTTTCATGTAATGCTGAGTTTTGAGCCATTGTTTATAAATCACAGTGACTGGATTTACATGCTTGAAAATAGACCCAAATTTATTGGCTGTATTTATGGTACCTTTGAAACTGGTCAATATGGAAAATGAAATGAATTGGATGAATTGGGGATCAATTAAGGAAAGGGTAGATAGAAACGTGGACTAGAAATCTTCGTTGAGATGAGACTTGAAAAAGCTAATGGACTAATAGTTTTTGCAACTATTGATTGAGGTTTTATTATTAAGCTTTTACATTTGGGGTGACTGAACAGAGCTCGAATGTTTACTGGCCAGGTGCTCTTCCTAACATCTACATAGAGTTTGCAGCAGACAATTAGTCATTGCGCCCTGAAAGAGAAATATTTGCTGCTACCTAAGATCAAACTTAGAGCCTCCTGATTGTGAGGCAAGAACTCCACCTGTTGGCTGCCTCACCTCTCTATTCAGTTGCTCCAACTCCATGGCAAGGGATGTTAAAGCTTTTACAATACTTTACAAAAAATGCTAAATTAGAAATTTTGTATTTTTTATAAAAGAAAGCTTTGTATGAGGAACATATCCTTATCTTCATGGAATGAAATGTAGAATCTGGGCCAATCACCAACATTCTAATTATATTTGGTATACTAAGTATGCCATATTTGGTCTATAAATTCAATTGTCAGAAATGTAACAGAATGAAATATGAAATTAATTAGATCATGTTCTTTTTGTATATTATATATTTTTATATTGTTTATTTTGTATTCCAAATTTTATTTTCTATTAATTCACCTGCTATTTTTGTTTTATTTATTCTCTTGTTCAAACACACTAACAGAATTGATCCATCTTTGGAAACTAATATTTGTTTCATGTCACTTTCAAACTTTGTTCTAACAGGTCCATATTGTATACAGCACAGTATAGTTACATACTGCCAATGTCTAAACAAGATTATAATTTCATATCTGAAGTAATATAAGCTTCATCCAAGTTATTCAATTTACAAACTCCAGTAATAGTCTATTCTGTTATTGTATGTTCATTTATTGAAGCAGATGCATCTAATTGCTCTGCTATAAACTAGTGATAGATTTCAGGCAATTTGAAATGCAGTTTCTGTAATGCTTGATTTTATTACATGTTTGTATTTCAAAATACTTCCTAGTAATACTAGCCAGCATGCAACTTAGTACATTTTTATCATAGTTTTGTTCAATTCAGTCATAAACTTTTTCTTTTTTCTTTTAGCCTATCAAAGCCCCAGAATCTGTAGCCACAATCATTACAGCAGAATCTATCTTCTATAAGGTATGATTTTGATGTTTTTAAAAAGATTGTATTTATCTACATATATGTATCACTGAATGCATTTGCAATCTATTTCTGAGTATAAGGTTGTAGGATTGCCCTTTTAGTCTTAGAAATGTTTCTACTGTTAAGCAAATACACTGTTAAAGTTCAGGAATATTGAAGCAAAATGTTTTTAAAAAATCAAGGAAAATGGTTTATATGTTGGTTGAAGAATTTAATGAAGTTTATCTACTTACCTGAATGATTTAGGAATTTTATAATCCCTTAGGAAAACATCTGATCAGAATATATTTTAAAAATATAAGTAGGAATTGGAATCTAAGTCTTATGAGTGTTGTCTTGACTTAATAGGATCTTTCAGGCTCTTTCCTGCTGCAAGTTAATGAATCTCCCAAAATGATTGTGTCTGGGAGTTACATGTTTCTTCTAAAATTCTCTAAAAGAATATATATATAATATTCTAAAATAAAATACGTTTAATTAAAAAGAGGTTTTAATTTGCATGAGTGGAAAATTCAAGCAAATATGACATTTGCAAGAGCTAAGTTATCTTCCTCCTATTCAAGGATTCAAGTCTATAAGAGTTCTTATTGTAAATACTTGCATTATTGAATAATTATATACTATGTTTGAAATATTATTCAATATTTCAATATTCAGTATTTATGTTACTATAATTGGGTAATGAATTTACAGTTTATAGTATATTGAGTTTATATTTTGACAATACAGTGTTACTGAACTGTGTGAATATACACATATGATAATATATTGAATAAAGTGGTTGGAAAATTCATGGCTGAGCTATGATATGGATTGGAAACTTCCAGGACTATGTATTTCTAAATTTTAATGGTATATTTTTATTCCAGAATAAAGAAATACTTGCACCAGGTCTTCCTATGCTTGGGCTTGGATGTCTTCTTGGGGGTGGTAGGCATGAAATTTTCTCCCAAAATCTAATTGGCTCTAATCTTAAAAGTCCCACATAGAGGCAGTTACTTTTCTTCCTCTTCCCCCTTTATGCATACATGCATTTAGATCCTTCACAAGTGCTTGATCAACAGTTTGCAAGTTGACTTGAAATGACTATACATCACAGGTGTGCTGAACTTGCAGGGGAAACTTGCAAAGAGAAAACACCCAATGGGACTTCTTTCCCTAATAGCAGTTAAAGGACTGTCTTAAAATCTTTTAGTTATTCTAAGCATAGAAACATACAATTCTAATGAATTAAGGTTTATTAAAATGTAACATTTTATACCTACAGTTTCACTCTTATTTACCCATTCACTTATGTGACTCTCACAATTGGAGCTGGTCAAACGTCTAGTCCAGTAACATGGGGATATCCTAGACTAGGGATCGGCAACCTTAAACACTCAAAGAGCCACAAAGGTCCTAACTGGAAGGCCTCCCTCCCCCCCCCCGGGTTCAATTTTGGAGCCAACCGGAAGTCCGGTTCCCCCACCATAGAGTCTCATCGTAGTGCGGTGTCCTTTTTCCTCTACCTGTGTTAACCGAAAGCCCTATCAATTGTGGAGCCGACTAGCAACAGGCAGCCACAGCAGAGGGATGAAAGAGCCATATGCGGCTTCAGAACCACGGGTTGCTAACCCCTGTCCGAGACAGAGGGTCTCTAGCAATGTTTCTTTTGTTTTGATCTTTTATCTGATGGTTGCTGAACTAAATTGCCTTACACAACAGTTATTTATAACCTGTCCCTTAAGTGTTTATTTTCCACCCCATAACAGAATAAAGGTGGAAAGCTGGAACCTAAAAAGTGTGAACATGGGATCTCAAAACAGGAAAAAAGGAAATGAATTAATTATGCATTGATATTTTAGGCATCAGTAAATTGAAAAAGACTGGAATTGAACACTTTAATATATAGGATAAAAAAACCCAAAGGGATTACCTTGCTTTCATAATTAGGAAGGATATAGCAAAGATGATATTTGGAAACAGTGCGGTGACTTAATAATAATTAGAATTTGTAGTTTAGCTTTTAATATGACAGTTATTAAGCTTATGCTCCAGTCACTGGAAACAGATAAAGTGGATTTGTATGGTCAAGTTAATCTGACCATAAAGGTATTCATTTGTTTCTATAACATTCTTCCATTCATAGATCCATAGATCCAAAAACCTTTTGTTTTTGACAGTTTTAAAAGTTTTTTTTTAATCCCATATTGTTTTTATAAGAAACCCAGGATAAAGAATATAATACTCCTAAAATTCCATTCCTTCCTTCAATTTTCCTTACAACAACAATCTTGTGTAGTAAGATTGTGAGCTGAGACAGAGTGACTGATCCAAAGTCATTCAGTCAGCTTTTATGCCTAAAGCAGGACTAGGACCACAGTTTTCTCATTTTTCAATTGGTGTCTTAAGCAATAGCCCAGAAGGGGCTCTTGTGATCTTTTATTTTTAAATCTTACTGTTGCTATTGATTAAAACTCAAATCAAACTTTTTTTTTCTCAAGAGAGTTCAAGGTTTTAGAACTACCTTTTTAAAGAAACAAACAAAAAATCCAATGATAAATCCTTTCTCACATCATTTTTCATTACTTGGCTCATCATTTGTTTTTCCATTCTGCAATCATCTTTGTTTTATAAATCATAATTTATTTGTTTTCCAAAATTTGTCCATTGATTAGAACTTGTTTCATCTCTTTTTTTGTTGGTCCATAATTTCTTTTATGTTTATGATGGTAATAAAGATTTATTTTGATTCTTTCATGTTCATTTTTCCATCTTTTGTTTCTTCTTTAGAGTCCTCAAAATTGATTAAGTGAAGAAATTATTATTGTCAATTTAATTGTAAGTTTATCTCCAAATTCTTAAAAAAATCCTTTAAAATCATATCTTTATTTGTCATTTTATAATTTCACTCTTTCTTTTGTGATTCAAGGATAAAAGGCAGGAATTTTTTTCCACATTTATTTCTTTTTTCCTACCTGGGACTTTGGTCCCTTCTAGTGTTCCGTTGCTGTAATCACAGCATCTCAAATGTCTGTTTCTTTATTTTCAAATTTCAACCAGTCATCTCTTTCTTAATAGACTATATTCCCACAAATATTTTATTTTATTTTATTTTATTTTGTTGTTTCAAAAATCCTAATATCCCAAATTTGTTTTGTCTCTTAATTTGTTTTAAACTTTCTTCAATTATTTAACTTTCTCAATTTATTTTGTTTTTCAAACATTTTGCTTGGGAGAGCTCTTTAAAAATAATTATAAATCCAAATTTAGGAAGTGAAGCCAGACAGACCCACTGTTCTTAAAGGCTCTGCTATCTTGAGAATTTGGTGGCTTCTCTCATCTCCTGTTGCTTAGACCTGCTGTCTTGCAGTCTCCTTGCAAAGAATAGTTGTTATGAGCATAAGTGGGAGATGTCTCGTTTTTTCTTTGCCAGAGAGATTCTGTTGGTCCAGCTTTGTCAGTTCATCAACCACGTCATAATCTTTTCTTTTCCTTCCTCATTGCTTCACCTGGAGATCTTTGGAATATCTCATCCTCATGAGAAATCTACACACAGTAGAGCAGGCACGTCAAACATGCCGTCTGCAGGCCAGATAAAGCCTGTGCAGGCCACACCTACCCTGGCCCCGCAAGGGCAAAAACAATCCTGATACATCATGATACGGCCCGCGAGGCAATCAGGTTGGACACCCCTGCGGTAGAGGAAGCCACTGCCTGTAAGGACCATTATGAAATAGGGTAGCTCCTGCTGGCAAAAGAGGGAGATAAGACTATATACGCCTTAGTTTATACGCCCTATATGCTGAATGTATATTGGGGAAACTGGTTGAAGAAAATTTCTGTGGTTTTAAAAATGGAAGAAGCATTAATAGCTGATAGAATGATGACACTATTCTGATACTCATACTCTGGTAATAAAAGTAAACAAGTACAGTGAAAAAAAAATTGAACTACATTTGTAAAGACAACCAAACTAATGAGAAGTACAGCCACCAGCTTTATCTTTTCTCTCTTTTTAGATAGACTGTTATCAATAAAGTCAAGTAATATGCGATATGTCAGCATTTGGTAGCAATGAGGAACTAAAAGACAAATCTAGTCTGTCTAAAAATATTATACTCCCTCTATAATACTTTATGGAAACTAGAAATTTAAGCTTGACGTCTGAATAACCAGGATAGAAGGATCTTTTTCAAATTTAATTTTGGAGGAAATTTTTCAGAACACAATGGATAACCATGAAAACAAATACATAGATAAATCAGAATTCTCTTAAGGCAAAAATGACTATGCTCAAATTATTGAATTTTAGCCACATTGTGTGAAGACCATAACTCTGGAAAAGGTAGACAGAATGAAAATAAGAGAACTAGCACCAAGGTGCATGGCCTCAATTATTGCCACAATGGTTGCATCATTGGAAGACTGAAGGGCCAACTGGGGAGAAGATCATCCTGGAAAAGATATGACTGTATAGTTGCTGGAAATTCATCTAACTTGATAACACATAATCAATCAAATATGCTGTTTTTCCTATCAAATGAGAAGCTATTGTTTTTATCAAAATACATTTTTATCTCTTAAGACAAAATTGTTGGAAGACACTAAATATTTACTATATTTAGGAAATTTTCGTGTTAGAGAAGATACTACAAACTTTTTGTAGATACAAGGCACAGTTTGTATAAATTAACGGAATCTTTCAGCTGCAGTTAAGCTTTTTCATTTTACATTTTTAACAATCTGTATTTTTTCTAGGGAATATACTATCAAATTGGAGATATTGTTTCAGTCATTGATGAGCAAGATGGTAAAACATACTATGCTCAGATTAGAGGTTTTATTCAAGACCAATACTGTGAAAAAAGTGCAGCTTTAACATGGCTCATTCCTACTACAGCAAGCCCAAAAGACTATTTTGATCCTGCAACTTACATAATAGGTAAGTTCCAAGGACTAAAATATTACGTCTGGCTTGTCCTGTGGATAATTGTACGGCTTCATAGTTAATTTGTTTTTCTCCGCTAGAATGGCACCATCTGGCCTATCTTTTTAGAGAAAATACGTTTGCATTAGAAACATGTTTATTTAACAGCATCCTCTTCTGTTCAGTGTTTCTGTGTGCTAAGGCAAAAATGCCACTAAATGGGATCAGTTTACACATTCTTTTTAGAAGCGTATGTCAATCTTATACATTATCTTTTAGCTTTGTTCTATCTGGGCACCTTCCAAAAGTATAGAATTCAGTTCCCAAAGTTTCCCACCAGTAGAGCAAGTAAGAATACTGGGCATTGGTCTACAGATCTGGAAGAGCAGGAAAGACTAGCTTTCCACCAATCAGCCTTATAAATCTCAAGTCAAAAGAATTCCCCCCCCCCCTCAAAAAAAGAAAAAAAAATAAGGTACAGAAATATAACAAGTTGGATACATAGTCTTTGCCGTGCTTTAACATCATCTGGAATAATCATGCAGAAAATAGGGTTATAGCTCTAGATACTATGAATTTATGTCTATCTGCTTTATTTATTAAATTATTATGTATTAATCTACTATGATTGCCCACTCCCATAGTCTGATCAACTTACAAAATCCAATTAGACACTTAAAATAAAACACATAAAATATGGCAGCCAGATTAAAAACAACTGTAAAAATGAAAACATAGTGGGGGTTATACAAATATATTAGCCCCAGGCCTGGAAACAAAGTAAGATCTTCCAAATTCCAGGAAGAGGGGGCGCCGTATATATCTCTGGGTGAATGCTGCTGCAAAGGGTCGGGGTAGTGACAGAGAAGTCATGCTTCCTCATTCCCACAAAATTACAGTGTTTAACTAAGGGGTCCTAGAGTGTGAGCCCCCCTATTCTGACCAAACATCCTCTAGCTACAACCATAATTGAGACTAGATAGTCATGATATGTCTTAAGTAAAATTTCCCACATGGTTGGACCCAATTTTACAACTATTTTATGGTAGTCATTAAGCGAATTGTGTGACTGTAAGTCTAAAATATGCAGTCATTAAGCTAATCATATAGTCCAAAGTCCAAAGCTATTCTCAAATCAGCAGGTTTTTGCCAGAAACTCGGAGGGGGGGGTGGGACTTCATAAATCAGGCTCATGTGACTATAGCAGTGTAGCATTTTATGATATTAGAAGAGCTTTATAAAGCACCCTTTCTGAGGCTGTTTTAACTCCAAAGGGTCACTAAACAATCGGTCATCAGGAGTACCTGTACTGGACAGGCAGAAAGAGATAGGCAGTCCCTCAGATAGCCAGGACTTAACTATAAAGGACTTTATAGGTAACACCAAGCATCTTGAAATGCACCTGGAAGTCAGATAGTAACCAGTGCAGCTCCTGTAGCAGTGATGACACAGGGGAGTTAACAAAGTTGTTACTGCTCATGCCACTGCATTTGGAACAACTCTAGCTTGCAGGTGGAAGTACCAGAGCCCCTTTATGTAAAGCACATTGCAGTAAGTGCTAACCTTACTGTCTGAAGACCTTGTGCTGGGAAAAGCAAATGTATGCAACTGGCACACAAAATGAATCTCTGCAAGGACCGTCCAGGCCATAGCTACCACCTGTTGATTGAGCAATAGCTGCACAACTAAGAGGACCCCAAGATTCTTCTGTGCTTTTTGATTTACTGTCTGGAAAATAAATGCTTTTTTTTTTTAGGACCAGAAGAAGATCTTCCAAGAAAAATTGAGTACTTAGAATTTATCTGCCATGCACCTTCAGAATATTTCAAATCTCGATCAACTCCTTTTCCTACGATTCCCACTAGGCCAGAAAAAGGTTATATTTGGACTCATGTTGGACCTACTCCAGCAATTTCAATCAAGGAAGCTGTTAGTACCAGCTTGTAATATCTCTTCAAAAAATGCTTTTATTTATATTTTAAATTACCACCTGACTTCTATTTATTGTTAATCTCTGCCTTTGTCAATTTTTCATTTTTGAAGGTGTTTTTTTTTCTCAAAAAAAATACGATTTCATCTAGATAAATGAATATTTTAAAGTATTCCTGCTGTGTTAGAACTGTGCCCTTATATTAGCATACTATGTACACTAATGTGTATTTAATTTGATCATGGAGCAGAGGGATGGAGACAAGTTCATTAAAAAGTGAGCTGAAATTATAGGAAAATGGAGGAAAACCTTGATACAGATATATCTATTTAAAATGTTCAGTTGAAAAACATTATGGAAAAAAAAGAGTACATTTCCATTGTTGCAAATGTTCTGTGCTATCCTTATCTGGAAATAAAGTTACAAAATCTCCCTTACATAAGATCCATGGTGATTTTAAGAAAAATGTAAGGATTAGTTCTAAAACAATTTTGGTAGAAAATCATCTGTTTCAACATGATTCTATTATAATGGGCACTTTATTTGGATGATGGCTTTTGCAAGAACTTTAATGTGAATTCTTGAACCAACTTGTAATTCTTGTGACGTATTAATGCAGAGATCTAACCCCTAGGCTGCACCCCATTCAGAACCAGGTTGTGGGAGTGGTCGGCGAGGACCCTATATTTGTGAAAGGCATGTGTGCGCACGCAGGAAACCATTCCCCTGCCTCCCAGTCTGCCAAGTGCGAAATGTTGGGGATGCTATATTAAAGAATATCTTGTTGATTCATTCCAAGGGTAATCTTGGGGAAATGTAACTTTCTATTTCTTTACCTTAAATCTTTGTGGCTAATAGAAATGAATAGGTGGAAGGAGGAGTGGTAAAATAGTTAAAATGCCAGGTATCTTTTAAGAGATAGCTGAATAGCTATCCCTTGTGTTCTTTTAAATTTTATCAAGTTACAGTTACTTTTGCCTTAGACATTGTTCAGAAATGGAGATGGTTTGTTAGATTGAACTTGGATAATATAAAAACCTGGTGCAATTACTCTAAATCATATAATTTTGTCTCAGTATGTTGTATGTACCCATTTAATTGTAAATTGTTCAGAAACCATGTTTAAATTGTGGCTTAATGTAAAGCCCAATCCCAGCCTGATTATTTTCATGTTTATTTGGTACCAGGTTTTATTTTAACATCAAAATAGTTTTTTATACTGCTGCTACTACTACTCATGAACAATTTTGAAGAAATCCAGATATTTTTTTTTTTGTATCATCGCATAAAACAATAAACGGACTGTATTCATATCTAGGCTTTAATACGTGAAGGATGACTACACCAGAGAATTAGTAAAAACAGACCTTCTGGTAAAAAGTATTTCTGATGTTCTGGAAGTGCTGTATGAATCAATTCTATTGTTTATAAATTCTGTTAGATTATAAGTATCACAGACTTGTTTTGCGTTAACTTCAATTTATTAAGACTTGTTTAGATACAGATACTCATTTAGCTTTATTGTCTTGGACAGTATTCAGTTACCAGTAATTGCAAACTGCCCACATTTACAACATTTACAGCAACTCTCCAGTCACATGTTCATCATCATTGTCAGCTTAAGCATTATCCTGTGCCTGACTTGTTTTTTTTCATCCCTCTCAAAAGTGGAGTATCTAAACCAGTGATCTTTTCTAGAGTACTTTCTTCTGCAGCAGTGTCTCTCTAAAAAGGGCTAACCACACACTAACAAGCTCAGCTCTCTGACTAGTTAATTAGAACTCTCTAGTTTGGTGCTGCTGACATTGACAAAACTAATCAATTTCACACTAAAGGTTTTTGTTTGCCTCCTAAGCAGTTTGCTAGGCCAATAGCTGGTGCTAACACATTTCTTTCTATGTGTACTCCCCATTGTGTGCCTGCTTACTCTTTTGTAATCCCTTCCTTTCCAGTGAATGTAAATACATCAATTCTCTTATCGTTAATTATCCTAATCCCAGGAAGAACATTTCAAAAGGTGGAGAGCGGGGGGGGGGGACACGGGACTATAAGGTTTGCCCTATTAAATGGCTTCCCTTTGAGTATGGAAACCTTTCCTGCTGTTTGGGCTCAACGGGCTATTTGAGGTTGTTCCTTGAAGCAGCAAAACAAAACAAAAGAAAAGCTAAAGTAAAATAATAATCCCAATCACGGTCCTATAATGTTCACACAGCAAGCACATCGCTTAATGACTGAGTGGCTGGAACAAATTTCAGTCACTAAATGAGGACTGAAGACATTAGCAATGTCATGGCAAAGTAGCAACAATGCATTAGAATGTTTGCAAGAAATACCATTTGCCTACAAGCAAAAATTGATGAGACCACAAAATAGACTAAAGCAGTGTTTTTTAAATCTTTACCAAGGACCCCCTTTAAATACCTTTTGTGGACATGGACAATGGCCACAAACCACGTCGTGTTCCCCCCATTGACATTGTGTCTCCCCAGGGGTCAGCAGACCACAGACTGAGAGCCACTAGACTAAAGAATAGAAAATTAATCTACAGTGCTCTGGGACTATAGAATTCAAACAGGCAAGCAGGCACTTCAGACTTGGCAGTTGTTGATAAGAAATAAAAAGGTCTATATGGTGGACATGTTAGTACCTGGTGATAGTGGAAGAGAAAGAACTGGAGAAAATCCACAAAAATACAAAAACCTACAAATATAATTATTGGCAAAAGAAAGAAAATATAATACCAATACTAATAGGTGTCTTTAATGCAATCCCAAAACATCTGCAGCACCACTTGAATATATTGGAATTGACAAAATCACCATCAGTTAATTGCAAAGGCACCTCTTATTTGGAACAGCTTATATGATGTGGCAATACTTTTTAACACTATCAATGCAGATATCCTCAAAAATTCTGTTTTCTATGCAGAAGAAAAACTGATGATAAACCATTTCTACCCATTGATTCCATTTTTTTTCATTGTGGAATGAAATAGAATACTGAAGTTGAAATAAGAATATTGCATTCAGCAATATCCGATTTAATGTTGTGTTTGTAACACTACTATTTTCTAAGACCTTGGTTAGTGCTGCAGTTCCACCAACCAAGCTTGCATAAAACAGAATGCAAAATAAGCAAAAGCCAGCTAGATCCACATTTGGCAGCAACATCAACTTTCAATGGAGGTTCAGGGAAAGATTCATTCCAAATTATTCATACATATTTTGATACATCCAAAATGCCTATTTTTTGCACCTCACTTTTCAGGTATATAAACCAAGTCTAGCATATGACTATAATGATATAAATAAACAATCAAATTTTTCAGCTTTCCACAAAGTCCTTTGCTAGCTTGAGTAACATGGAAGTTTGCACTTGGTGTAATAGACAAAGTACTGCAGAGTGAATTGATACCCCAATGATGTCCCACTTATGAAATCATAAATGCTGATATTAATTTACATTAGCAGTCATTGCTGAAACATTGTATCATAAAAGACATGATCACATGCTAAGTTAACACTTTCAGTGGAGATTTCATACCTATTTGATGTTATCCAGTAATTGCCCAGATTTTTCTTGCCTAACTAGGACAATTCTAATATTGACACTGACAGATAACTTCATCTGATAAAATAGGTATCTGGTAGTAGTCTGGCATCAAAAGGAATCTTCATTTTAACTAGCCTGTTTCATTTTGATGAAACATTTGGAAAATATTGATTCTATCATTTAACAACCTTGTTTTTTACCTTCCGCTATTTCAGCATATTAGCCTTCAACTTTTATGTGTTTAATATCTGTGCATTACTATAAACATATTTGGTGTAGTATAAACTTTTTAAAAAATTAAAATGTACATAAACATTTTAAAAATAAAAACAAATTTTTGGTTAACAATATACGGTAATTTATTCAAGCAGCACGTCTGAAATGAATTGAAGATGCAACACAAGGAATTGCAGCCGAACAATTTATTACAGTAAATTAGTGATCTTTAGATTTTACCAACCTAAGATCCAACTTCTCTATATTTAAGATGTAATACCTATTGTAAAAAAGGAAGAGTAGAATTGGTTCTCCATTGCATTGCTGAAAGGTACATTTTATATGCAACTTAAGTAAACAATTTTTTGAGCAAATCACATGTGTGTTTAACATTATGCAGTAAAACTGTTTAAAATCCTAGTAGGCATAAAGTTGTCTTGATTCTTATTTTAGTCAGAATGTTTTGAAGTTATTACGGGTAATCTTCAGACAATTGGAACTGAGAACTCCATTGTTATGTGAAATGACAGTAAAGCATTACATGATCAGATTGTTTAGTAATGGCAATTTTAGCAGTTTCAATTGCTGTTGTTAACTGAGGACTTCATGTAATTGTGACTTCTGACTTCCTGCCAGTTTTCCAATTCACTTTGTTTGTGAAAAACTGGCAAAGTACATCAGAAATTGCGATCACATGACCATGACTCAATGTGATGCAATCATGATCCCAGATCCTGTGATAGCTGGAGCTGTGGTGCAAAACAAATAGAACTGTTTCCAGAAGAACAGCATAACATACAAGGACACTTATAGAACTGAACGATAACCAGAAAAATTGAACTTTCTTAGAAAGCAAAATGCAGTACACGTCAAGAAAACTAACTTTCAGTGTTTTAAAACATTTGGTTTTAACATTTTACAAATAAAGGGATCAATACAAAGTCCACAATATGTTATTAACAATTGTATTCACACATGCTTGACTTGATATTAGTGAAACTCAAATATTGCAAAGTAAGATAGTAATATGGACTAATGGGAATTATTATTAAAATAAAATGAAATTCTGCCAGCATAAATTCATATAAAATATGTAAAAGCAATTTTAAACAGATTGAAAATGAATGAAATGTGGTAATTGTTCACCAGCACACCTACTTTCCCCCAACTGTTTGTTTACCAGTAGAAGCATTGTTTTAAGCCTTGGAACCTGTCTTAAAGAAACACATTGAGAAATGGTTGTTTTCCAATATAAATTTAACACTTCAGTTAAGAGAAACCTCATTAAGGAAGTTAATCATTCCCAGATATAATAGTCCTTATTTTAAATTAATAACCATAAATTACAAAGTACAAGGTAAAAGCTATATTCAGGTTATATAAAGAGAAAAGAAAGGGAGTCAAATGATGCATAAAAACGGGTTATTTATGTTGTCAGTCCAGATTTTAGAAAACAGCTATTTTCTTTAGCTGTGAATAACCCTCTGACATATCATCCACTGGTGTATTTATGACGTTAGCAGAAACATTGTCATCTGACTCAGTACATTTGTTTCCTTCAGGAGATGAACAAAGAGTAACAGGTTCATCCATTTTATCACAAAGCAATTGTTGAAGTCTCTGAATGCCTATAAAAACAAAGAGAATAATCAACTTTAGAGAATGCATTTATATCAAGATTGTCTTTGTGCATTCAACAAAAAGCAAATCTAAAATTAATGTATTGGTATGAGGAACACAGATGTGCAATATAAAATTCCAGGTTCATTAGATTAGACTAAACAGGCTTATTCCAATAGATAAAGTCTCTCATCATACAGAAGTATTGGAAATGAAATGTAAACAATTCTTCACCCAGAAAATTCTAAATTATAAGTTACAGCACTGATCTGAAACTGATCATATCACCTTCAATTATATCCCAATATTAATTTTTTTCCAAAACCTTTTTAGAAAACAATAATTAACTTTTCAAATTCTGTTGACTTATTTTTAGTAAATACAAATTAAGGATTCAGAAAAACATCCAATTAGTATAATCAAGTAGTATGATCTTTATTTACAATTCTTACTTCATTTACAGCACTAATCAATTTTCTCTACAATTTTTTTCTCAAATGATCAAGAAAGATCAAATACTGTATTTTTCGGACTATAAGACACTCTGGACTATAAGATGCACCTAGCTATTGGGGAAGAAAACAAGAAAAAAAAATTGCCTCTGCCTTCCAGCAATTTGCCTCTTTGCAGCAAACAGCCTGGTCAGTTTCAGCACAGCCTGATTAAGCACCTGCAGCTGATTGGTGGTTGGATCTGCCTCCCGAAATACCGCCTATCAGCTATTCCAGGCTGTGGAGATCAGCACCTCCCATTGTCACCGTTGCTGGCCATTGCTGCTGCTGCCAATCGCCTCCTCCACACAACCCATTTTCAGCCTCTGCGTATCTCATTTCCCCCCTCTGCACACCCCATTTTTAGCCCATTCCAGATGGCAGAGATAGGTGGCGGCAGGCATCCCCCCTGCATGGAATGGGCCAAAAATGGGGTGCGTGGAGGCCAAAAACAGAGCGTGTAGAGGCCAAAAATGGGACGCACAGAGGACAAAGATGGGGCGTGCGGAGGTGGCAGCAGCGATGGGCAGTAATTATCTCCGCAGCCAGAACAGCTGATAGGCAGTATTCTGGGAGGCAGATCCAACCACCAATCAGCTGCACATGCTAAATCAGGCTGTGCTGAAGCTGACCAGATTGTTTGCTGCAAGGAGGCAAATTGCTTGGAGGCAGAGGCCGAAGGATGGGGGCCGGTGGATGAGCGGGGCTTTGGCAACATTCGCTGTATAAGACGCACAGACATTTCCACCCACTTTGGGGGAGGGGGAAGTGTGTTTTATACACTGAAAAATACAGTACATCATAACAAAAATAGATACATTAAAATATTTTTCATTATATGTTTGTGCTCTTTTGAATGAACAATAGAGTAAGATATCAAACTATATTTTCTGCTTGAGTCTTGATGTGTCTAGTTGATATCAGGAATGGAAGTTGCATAAATGGAAAAAGAATCATAATGATTTTATAGAACTCAAAACTTACACAAAATAATCTTATGTACAGAATCTGAGAAAATTATTCTAAACCATCCAGGTTCGTAACAGCAGAAGGCCTTCCCAGGACTAATAAGAAGTTTTTCGTCAAGAATCTTCATCCATAAATCAATTTCAGCTTCAAATGTCTGTGTTTTTAAAAACTAAAACAACAACAACATGAATTGTACTATATTAAATTATAATTAACATAATAAACACCTTATATGAAAAGAATAAAAAGATAAAGAATTTATTTTCCACCTTTATTATTGTTATGAATAACTCAAGATGGCAAACATACCTAATATTTCTTCTTTCTATTTTCCCCACAACAATCCTATGAGGTAGGTTTTGCTCAAGAGACTGGCCCAAAGTCACCCAGCTCACTTTCATGCCTAAGGCAGGACTAGAACTCATGGCCTCCTGGTTTCTTGCCTGACAGCACTTAGACCTATATACTGCTTTACAGCCCTCTCTAAGTGGTTTAGAGTCAACATATTGCCCCCAATAATTTGGGTCCTCATTTTACCCACATTGGAAGAATGGAAGGCTGAGGCAACCTTGAGCCTGGTGAAATCTTAATCGCTAGACCAAACTGGTTCTGATCTGATCAAAGTTTTCAATTAATTTACCTATCAATGAATTCCCAGATTTCCAACTTTTTCCCTAACTTAGAGCATTACATAAATGTACTATTAAGGGTATATGTTATGATTCTGCATGCTCATCACTATACATAAGGATAATACCACCTTAGGAGTTTAACTAAAATACAAAATGTTTTGTTTTAAAATGTTTTGTTTTAAAATGTTAACAAATGCAAAATTTCATTAAATACTCTAAATATGAATGTAGAACAAGACCACTTTAACTATTTGTGGGTTTTCTTTCTGAAGATTGTAACATTTCCAAAATGTCCATAGTGAAAAATTTTGTGGTATTTCATGTTCAAACTGTTTTGAAATAAAGTATTTTATACATCACTGCCTCAAAATATGATTGATATAGAAACATCAACTATCATTTTAAAATATCAATATTTTCATCCTTATTTTTCAAATGGCCAATAGAACTTATTTTCTTCAATCAATACTTTTTATTCTTTTATTTCTTTTACATACCTTCCTGAAATCAGCCCACACATATAACCCTCCTGAGCTTTTTAAAACAGGTATTCCAATATCTGCAAGGCCATCCACAAGAATGTTTTGAGCTTCTTTTAATCTTTTTTTATTTATTGGGAAAAAGACATTATCCAGCCAGTCTGTCAAAACAATACAAATGATAATGCATTTTTATTTCCTGTTCTTTATACTATGTCAAACTCGATCGTGTCGCGTGATGTATCGTGTCATTTTTTGCCTTTGCAGAGCCGGAGTGGAATTTATACACTGTCTTCTACCTTAGGTTTTATCACAGACGAAAATAGGAAGAAGCAGAAAAAACTTGGCAGTTTTCATGTAGCATACTTACATTTTCAAAATACATACTCTAAAAAACTTTTCTAGTTTTTCAATTTAATGTCCAATTTTTCCATCGCTTTATAATCTGGTTTTTCAGTGAGAATTTTAGAGTGTAAACAGGGATGTGAGAGAATTTTTGATAGGTCATGGTTTTAAATGTAACTGCTTAGCTTCAAAAAGGGACTCATGCTATTGGGGGATTAAGTAATCTGACATTTTAACATACTTGTTAAGTATTTTTCTAATTATGATCACTAACATGGATAGTATCAACCAATAAGTGACAAATTAATGGTACTAGAAAAAATACAGTTGGTTTTAGCTGGATTTTAGTGTGAATTTTGGTTACATAACTTGCTATTGAATACAATAATGCTTGAGAAATCATACTTTGGTCACAGTTAGGGTGATATTTTTTTTAAAAAAATTCAATAGCTATTGTTCTAAAGATCAAAGTTTATTTTTATTTTATTTGGCTTTTGAATCATTGTTGACTCTAGTAGCTACATAGACAAGCCCCTACAACTTTCTTGCAGGATTTCAGAAATGGTTTGCCTTTGCTTCCTTCCCAGGGCTGAGAGAGAGAGAAATTGAATCAAAGCCACCCTTGCTGGTTTTGTGTCTAAGGCAGAACTAGAATTCAGACTCCTGATTTCTAGCCTAATACTTTGACCATAACACCAAACTGGCTCTATGTTCATTATTTAGATGCTGTTTGTGAGAATCTGTAGTAACATTTTCAGGTTTGTCTAACCTCTGTCTTTAAGGATTTGTTGGAGAACATGCTGTACAGGGCCAGAACATCCATGAAAAACCACAAGCTGATTAACTGCCTTCCTGATGTAATGGTTTCTGGTGTATAATATTCCAACTCGAATACCACACATGCCAAAATCCTAGAAGGGAGAGGTAAATAAAGAACAATGTAATTTCAAATCCCCTTAAAATGGCAGTTTCCCCATGCATATCCGTAAGTAAATCAATATTCAGAATTTCTAATTCTGATAAAATATGGAATTTCTCAAATTTCATTTATATAATCCAAAAGTTTACATTTTAAAAAATAAATTGTTACCTTTTTACGCATAAATAATTTAAAGCAGAATTTATTAATAACTTGCCCTGTTGATCTTATTAAATTAATAGCACTAGGCAATATTTTTGTTCACCACCTAGATCTTTAGAAAAAGAGAAAAAGAAAAACCCGACAGCTTCTATCTGAAGGCAGGAATCTTTGAGTCTAGACCAGGGGTAAAATGCTCCCGGTTTGGACCGGATCGCCCGATCCGGTAGCAATGGTGGTGGGTGGTTCGGAGAACTGATAGCAAAAATCCCTGGGGCCCCCCATGTCCAGCTGAGCCGCATGATCATCAGAGGCTTTTTTTTTATTTTTAAAAGCATTTTTTCTACAACCTCTTCAGCCGAAAAGATGCTTTTAAAAGTAAAAAAAAAGCCTCTGATGATCGCGTGGCTCAGCTGGGATCCTTAGAGGCTTTTAAAAGCATTTTTTCTACAACCTCTTCGGCTGAAGAGGTTGTAGAAAAAATGTTTTTTTTTTTTTTTAAAAAAAAGCCTCTGCCGATCAGGCAAGTCAGCTGGGATGTCAGAGGCTTTTAAAAGCATTTTTTTACAACCTCTTCAGCCAAAGAGGTTGTAGAAAAAATGGTTTTAAAAGTAAAAGTAAAAAAAAAAAAAAAAAAAAAAGTTGGCCACGCCCACTCAATCATATTACCACCACCACCAACATGCCACACCAACAGAACCGGTAGTAACAAATTTTACATTTCACCACTGGTCTAGACTACCTAATGCAGACTTAGCAGCTTTGGGAGGGCAAAACAAGTTATTTTCATAGTATCAGAGCTTTAGCAGCAGACAAATATTATTATTAACAACAAATAACCATGAAGATGACATAGAAATATATGCTTTCTTAACTGCATTTGAAAGAAGTATTATACCCAGAAATATATGCACATTTGCACAGCATTCTAGGGGTAGGCATAAGGAAAGGTCAAATTCTAAAATGTGGAATCAAAATGCAAGAAAAGCTGCTTACATATTTGCATGCAGACTGCGATATAAATGCACACAAATTTTTTTGTGAAAAATTGAGGGAAGGGAAGTCATCTTACAACTTTCTTTGAGGATGCTTTTGATTTTTTTTAGATTAAAGAGATTAAACTATGCTTTGATTTTAATTAGAATGCCTAGGTTCCACTAGAAACTGTCTGTCATACCACTGTAAGAGACAAAAAGTCTGAATTCCAGATTTACCAATAGCAGTATCATTAATAATTTCTACCATGCAAACTGAATAGTATGGGAGAGGAAAATTTGACACTTCAAGTACTCAGGTACATATTGAATACACATTAATATCAAGTATTTCTAACCTACCTTGCTAAATCCCCACATAAAATGGGTTCGATCTGGATCAGGTAAACTAAAAAGAAATATTCACAAAGAATTAATATATTCTTTTTATAAAATCTTTAGTTATAAGGACAATTATACCCTGGTAGAGAAAATCTATTAGTTACAAGTGGCCTCATTACGCATAGGAATTACAAAGGAGGTTTGTAATTATAATTATCAATTGAAGATATATAAAACCCTGTAATGAGATTGCAAATAATAAAATTGTACCTTCTGCAGAAATTAGTGCAAGTTTGATATTTTGGAATTATAGATGGTCCTTATTTAATGACGACAATAATATAGCTTTATGATAGTGAACTGTATTCTGTTTATGAGCTTTGATTATATAAGTGGTCCTTGCTTAATAAAGTACTCATTCAGCAACTGTTCGAATTTACAATGAGTTGTGGTGACAACTGGAACTTGTACTTAAATGTTGAGTTGTCCCACAGACACATGATCACAATTTGTGACTTCTCTTGCTGGATTCCCAGAAGCGAAGTCAATGGGGAAGCCAGCAGAAAGACCTTACAATAATGTAAGGTCTTTGCTTAAAAATTGGCAACTGGAACTGCTGTTGCTAAGTGCCTGGTTTTTCGGTTTACAACTGTATTACTTAATGATGGTGTTTCTAATCCCAAACACTGTAGCTGAGTGAGGATTACTTATATTTTGTCTGAGAATGTGCAATGCTATAAAAACACAGGAAAACAATTATTTCAAATAAATAAAAACTTATAATAGGTCTATAAGATATTTCCAGCATTTTTATACATCTTTCCTGCTCTTATGGCTAATACACTTTTGCTATCCTGAGCATATTATAAGGCACATTATCACTGCTGAAACTTCTCATCTTCATCCTATTCCATCCATCCACCCACCTATACATAACATATTCCAGTTCCAGGATTGAATATGACAGTAGACAGTTCCAATCAAAGATGGGGTAACTTTGATTTAAAGAGGTTTGCTTGCCATGTTGCAATAAGCATAAGGATGAAGCAATGTATTAGGACTTCGTCATATTAGGGCTTAATGAAAAATTTCTTTGCACAAAAGAGTGTTAAATCATAAACATAGTATTGAAGAGTGTATGGTATATTTTATAAAAAAATAATGAATTTGACAAAAGAGATTTTCTATTGAGCATCAGTCTGGATAGATCTTAAAGCTACTATACTGTATATAATTACCTACATTTCAATGGTTGATGAGACCTTTGCCGGATGAGAATTACAACCTATTCTACATAAGGAATGCAGACACTTGAGATGTATCCAAAAATTAAAACAGGTAGAGAATACAGCAACTAGACTGCTAACTACAATAAGAAGTTTTGCTAATTGCTTATTGACATTAGTATTAATCTTTAAACCTTTAAAACATTATGGATCTGACAGCAAAGTCTTTTGAATATGAATGCCCCTATTGTGAAGAACATTGAACTAGCCATGGCAAAAATTTGTAATCAGACTTAATTTTAATATTAAATAATACATTTAATAACAAAGGTATTATTAAAATTCAAATATCAACTTTCTTGGGTTTTTTTACTTTATGTTTTGTTAGAATAGAAAGAGTGGGTAGAAAAGTCTACTAACTCTTGAATCATGATATTACATCAAATACTATTCTGGAAAAAGTATGTAGTGTTTCTCCACCTTGGCAAGTTTAAGAGGTGTGGACTTCAATTCCCAAAATTCTCCAGCTAGTCCACGCTTTTAAACTTGCAAAGATTGAAAAATACTGAGATAGCCATTGAGAAACGACTAGAGCCTAGAGCTTGAAATGACTAGCACGCATGTGCGGGGGAACCTTTACCTATCCATTGAGATGACCTTGGAGAAATTATCCAGAAGCTGTTAAAACACCAACAAGTTCAGAATATTCTCCCTCATTCCCCCAGGATGAGGGAAAAAGATTAGAAAGAGACTGACCCCCCCAACCCCCCCAAAATCTCTGGAGAATAAGAAGGGAGAAAGGAAAATTTCATAGGAAGTCTTGCAAAATTCTGTTATTCTAGTCTGTCTCAATAAAGGCGTCCTATGGAATTTGTTTCCTGACATAATCTGTCTTGTAGGCCTGATACATTTGGAGACAGAAAAACTATATATGAATATGGAAACACACATATATACATATCATAGATATTTAGAAAGTGTGTCCTTACCTCTTTAAGCTAAGGATGCTTGTAAATGTGGTATCACCATATACTGACAGCATGTAAATTTCATCCATTATTATATGTAACTCATACCTATATACAGAAAAGTATATAAGAATTCCTTAAAGTCTTCAAGTATTAATTTTGATCCATGAATTCATTACTTCATTCAGTAATTCTTAACATACTATCCGTAAGTCTAGTACCGTGTTTCTCCAAAAATAAGACCCTGTCTTATTTTTTTGAACCCTGAAATAAGTGCTTGGCCTTATTGCCATGCACTCAAAAGCCCGATTGGGCTTATTATTAGGGGATGTCTTATTTTGGGGAAAACAGAGTATTAAAAACATATTTAAAAACCCTTAGAAACTCTTACATTACACGATGAAAGTCACAACATATATAACAAACTGAATTCTTTATTCTAATATTCCCAGACATTCAGAAGTCTGCTACGGATAGAAATATTCCTGAATTTCTGGAAATGTATTGACAGCTACTTAATATTTTTCTAAAAACTGTTTCTTGGAAAAATTCTGTTAACTGGTTTTTTTATTTCTAATGTCAAATGCAGTCCCACATTTCTAAAGACATATAAATAGAAAAACACTAATTTTGAGGCTTAAAAAGCTTAGAAATTTTTTAAATTATTTCTACTCTAGTCACTGAATAAAAAAAATCACAGAAAGATGGAAGGTAGCATTATAGGGTTTACATTTACAGCTTGTAGAACCATTATTCCATTAAATATTTCTGAAAAAAATAATTCATTTGTTGCTTGATGTCGTCTGCAGCACAATGCCTGTCTATTTTTGATGGGTTTAAAATATTATCACTATCTTTGTTATCTAGTTTTTGTACTAATGGTCTTTCTGTTTCCTCCTCTTTTTTTGGTCTCTCTGACTATAAATCAATAAATTTAAAATTTCACTGGATGTAAGACAAAAAATTGTGGATATATTTAAAGATATAGTGTATAAATTAATTAACTATAAGAATGTATTCAAAGACAATTAACTATTTGAATATACTGCAATTTTTGTTTTAAACCAAACACCCTTCTTTGCGAAAGATATAGATATATTTATTCATATACCATATAGCTTTCTATTTACTGGTTTTAAAATATTTTAAAATCTCTAATTTTAAAATTAGAGACTTTTCGCAATCCCCAATTCATAAATTGCTATCAAAATACTTCTGAAATCAAGAGTTTAATATATTACACACTACTATTACTATTGATTTTGGCAATGACCATTATTCAATTTCTGACATATATATGTATATATGCATACATACATCAGGCATTTGAGTTTTAACAAGAGTAACCTTGCCCTGGCAATGCCTACATTAATAATCGCTGTTATGTTTTCATAAATTACTGTAGTTATTGAAGAATTCTTAGTTTCTTCACAAAACTTAGAAGATAAATTATTGCCCCAATATACTTCCTAAGTAGGCCAGATAATCATATTTAGCACTTGCCAAATGAAAGGAAATTGCCAAAATCATTTTCTTAATTGAAATAATGCATTATGGAAAATTAAAGCCCAAATAAATAGCGCTAGGACGCAAACCTGTGCGCAAACTCTAGACATTCTGTCAGTAACTGTGCTGGGTAAATGTCCCCTAATGGATTGTGAGGGTTGATCAGGATTAATGCTCTGACTCGGATGCCCTGAAAAAAGAAAAACTGATAGTCGGAGACGCCAACATGACGTCAAGCATACTTGCAGACGGAGTCTGCAACACTGCCATCCTTCATTAAAAGTGTCACTCATGTATGGAAAACAATAGACTGTTTACATGCATATTTATTCCTGCAACAGCATTCTTTGCAATTTAAGAAAATGATCTTAAAATTGCAGCATTTTTTCTCTTAGTAGTTTTCATCCTCAATGGCTAAAAAGATAAATTTCAGAAAAATTCAAGAACAGATATTTTATATCAATTAAAACAGGCACTTCAACCATATTCCATTCACCTAGTTATAGCCTACAAGAACATTTTTATTTTTAATTGATTCTAGATTAAAAACAATGAATGAAACAACTGAAAATAAAAACTGAAAACTTTCTGTATTTTTTCAAATGGCAATAATTTTAGTAATCAAAAGAAGGAAAATACATAATATTCCACAAAAATATACAGTCGGCTACTGAAACTGTTAGTTATTTTATTGTTAGTAAGAATTCTATTGGATTTAAAAAGATCGTGTGAAGTTTTCACACTTTCATCGCAATCCTGATACAGAAATATGCCGTTCCAATGACTCATAGTACCTCACCAGGAAGCGAATGTGGCTTGCAATCATTAAATACCAATAAAAATTAAAATAATAAATAACTTTAAATTAGTTTGAAATTGAAAAAGATGGGGCCAAGGGAACAAGATGCCCATGGGGGGGGGTGTCTTAATCTAGTCCATTAATCCAGAATGACACCCCACTTTGGAGCCCCAAGCCAGTTCTTCAAACTCTTTCAGAAGGCCAGAAGAGTGGTTACAAATTTCACAAGGGATGCGGACTGCATATAGTTCTAAAGGACAGGAGCCATAGCAGAAAAAGTTCTCCTGGATCCCAGCCAGTTGGAATTACTTGGTATGTCTGCAGCTTGCCTCTTCTGCCAGCATGGGTGGGGCAGGCCAATCCCTTTGGGGTGAGATGGTTTCTCAGATAGCCAGGAGCCATGCAATGAAGGGCTTTAAAGGTGATAACCAACACTTGAATTGGACCTAAAAGCAATCTGGCAACCCTGGGCCACCCCAGGGACCTAAGAACTGACATGCAGCTGCATTCTGCATTAGATGTAACTTCCAAATACTCTTCAAGGGTAGCCCCCGGGGGAGCTTTCAAAATCCACTGCCACTGGTTTGCTTGTGGGTGTGCATGCGTGCCGCTTCTCCGTGCAGGTGGGGGGAGCCTCCCACCTACTGATTCACCTGATCCGGGGCGAACTCGTAGCAACCCACCACTGGTAGCCCCCCTCCTCCACCAAGAGCCTGTTGCAGTAGTCCAAGAATGAGATTATCAGACTTGAGTAACTGACTGCAGGGACTCCCAATCCAGGAAGGAGCTCAACAAAATTGTGCAAAGGCTCTCCCAGCTACGACTGCCACCTGCTCTTTTGAGTCCATTCCAGAAGATCCCCAAATTACACACTGGGTCTGTCTGTGGTGATGCAACTCCATCCAGAAATGTTAAAGTTCCAGGTCTCTAAGCTCCACCCACCCAAAGCCACAGGGTCTTCCCAGGGTTCAGCTGAAACCTGTTGTCCCACATCCAGACACCCACAGTCTTCGGGCACCATGAAAGGGCAATGCATTTGAGTCACTGGGGATGGAGATTTAAAGTTGAGTATCACCAGAATACTGATGGCACCTCATTCCATGGTGGCAGATGATCTCACCCAGTGGATTCATATATACATTTAAAAGGAGTGTGTTGTGACTTCGACTCCCGAGCCTGTCCTCATGGAGGAAGAGGACTCAGAAGGTGAGGGGGAGGAACTGGCAAGGCCTCCCTCTCCAGGACCTTCCTCTCTGGTAATGCCTCAAGGTCCATCTGAAGGCCAGGAGGAACAGCCTGGGATGTGCCAGGAGGAAGGCATTTCGGAGCACCCATTGATAGAGAGTGATACTGATGAATCCTGGCTTGATCCCAGGCAGCGTCGGAGGGAGAAGCGTGCACAGCAAAGGAAGAGGTGTGGGAGGACCATGGATTGAACTGAGTCACTGAGCCACGCCCCACAAGGAATAAAAGGGGGTGTGATTGCTCGGCAGGCTTTGTGACGGACAAACGTTTAAACTCTAAAGAGTCACATCGTGAATCCTGCACTTCGGCTCAGATATATTTTGGACTAAACTCTTGTGGATAATTTGTCGCTCTGGAACCGGACTGCAAATAAGGCCTCTTCTACTTTTTGGGAATACTAATTGGATTTGGCAGGCATTTTACAAGTAGCTGCTAGAACTCTCGTCTACCAGGAATTCTGGTCTGTTTATACAATACATTATTGGCAGGGGTGTTGGATATTGCATTTGTCTGTGTGAGGATGGGGGACAGAACAGAGTGGAGCGTGCAGTGCAATGAGCAAACCATAAAGGAGCAGCTGTGGTCTGGGTCTCTTACTCACTATTAACAGTGACTAGGACCTGCCTTGGAGAAAAGAGCCAAACTATCACAAGATTGTACTGACCAGACCCAAAAAGATACCATGGTCAATGTATTGAAGGCCACTGAAAAGTCAAGGATCCTCATGCCAGAGTTCATCCAAAGTGACCACTACTTTTTCTGTCTCATAACCATGCCTAAATCCTGACTGGAAAGGGTCGAGATAATCTGTTTCATCCAGGACCCTCTGAAGCTGCCAAGCCACCACACCTTTTCTACTATCTTTTCTAAAAAGGGAAGATGGAAATTGGAGAAAAATTGTCCAGACAGGTGAGATCAAGAGATGGTTTTCTGAGGACGGGGGAAACCAGAGCTTTCTTGAAAGGTCTTAGAAACCCCTCTGCAGTTAAGAATCTGCCTGAATCACCAGGCAGTCAACAAGTTCTAAAAGCTTTCATTAAGTAGGAGGGACAGAGATTTAATTGAGAAGTCACTGCACTGACAGCATCAAGGGCCCTGTTCATTTCCCCAGGTCCAACAGGATCAAACCATTCTCAAATATAACCAGATAAGACCTTTCTCCAGGCATCTCTAATAGAACTGGTATCATTGGTCCAAGTAGAAACCACTTTGTCCATCAAGTATTCAAAAAATTTCCCTGCATGGCCTGATGATGATCACCTGTCTGAGGAGGGATCAAGTGATCTTGAACAGGGTTGCCAGGCAACACTATAGATTCAGAGAGGGTGGAGAAATAATGGTGTTACACTGCTATTTCTGCCACAAGGTAGGCCTTAATAACAGCTCTAAATTGTATCTGGTCAGATTCATCCCTTGTTTTCCTCCAGTGGTACTTCAGATTTCTTTCAGCGTTTTTCAGAAGCTAGAGCTTCTCCGTGAACTATGAGGAGTATAGGGTTAAGAGAGTCACACAGGCATAATTGCTAAACTTCCTATTAATACTTTATCCTTTAGGATATTTTTTAAATTTAAAACAAATTAAGTTGAAAGACTGCTTACTAAAAAGCATCTACCAGGCACCATTGTTTTATTACTTTTGAAAATAAAAGTGGTGTGCAAAAGCTGCATAGTAGTTTGTTTGGAAATATCCTCTCCCATATCTTTGGAAATAAAGGTACACTGAATAATAGGATCATCCTAAAGATAGTAGGAAAGGTAGCGTTAGTAACGTATTTTGTGCCTGGCCATATTCAACTATTTGGAGAAAGCACTCATGACATATTCTTGAAATTTCAAATGTGCCTACAGGGCTAATAGGCTGAGCAGAATAGGGGTAATATAGGAAGGGTAAAGATAATGAAACATTTCTCAATCAATTCCCCACTTTTCAACACATTTGCCTCTCTTGTATTTTAGCAGATGTATTTTACCAGAAAGGTTAAAATCATTTTACAAATAATATTCATCTACAATTACCGGTAGAATATGAAGTTCAAACAAAAATATTCCTACCTTTTTCCTGGCTCCCTTGTACGCAGCTTCTAATTTTTCAACTGTTAATTGAAAAGGCTGGCTTCCTTTGTCAGCTACCTAAAATTCAAAACTCTCAATGTTAGTAACTCAATAAGATATTGCAATTATTTCTTTAAAAAATCCTGAACAAACTTGAGGAAACGTCAATGTAGTCAATGATTTAGGCATAAAGAAGCATGCTGGTAGAACTTCCCTCTGTTGAAAAGGGTAAATACAATGACACACTTCCTTATTTTTAATTGGGTTTTAATTGTATGTTTTTATCTGTTTATTTGTTTTTACCTGTGTTCGCCACCCTGAGTCCTTTCGGGAGAAGGGCGGCATATAAATACTTGCAAATAAATAAATAAATAAATAAATAAATAAATATTTATATTTAATTAAAAAAATACCTCACTGAATAATGGTACATGAATAGGTTGCATTCCACCATATAGCCAAGTTTTGGAATTTATGCCACCATAATATGGAGTTGGAATTAGATATCCATCTGTAAAAAAACAAACAAACAAAGGAAATCTTTTTTAGGAGACTTTTACTAGCTATTATAAGCACTATATTATTTTGCTTCATTTTAATTATTGTGTTCCATAAATCCTAATGGTTTTTCAATAAATACTATTTATGAATATGCTATTTATTAGCTAAGTAAACATTTTAGCAGTATTTTATCCTTTTTCATTTTTAAAACAAATAATTAAGTAATGAGAGTTTATTAGAATTATATTCAGGTATTTAAGAATGCAGACCAACTGTTTAATTTTAGCAGTGTTCTTTGAAAATAACATAAATAGTGTTGACTGTAAATATTACCTGACCGAAAAAGTTACCTCTTTATATCAGCCAATGGAAAACATATGCTTTTAAAAAGACACCTCTGAAACTTATTACAGTAACATGTACTGCGTGAAAATCACACACACACAAACATATACTTTGTAAACATTCTGAGTAATGCACCCTCTAAAAGCAGAACTCCGAGGCAGGTAGATTCCTCAAAAAACATGTTTATTGGATACATCATATCGGCACAGCTAGTGAAAACCAACTCTAAAAGTTTCCGTGGTTTTCCCCAACTTAAAAAAGCAAATATTTCAGATGTCACCTGTCACATTGTCCAATGAAAGCAGCCGGCAGGCTGCTTGGTCACTTCTCTCCTCCTTCAACTGCCGCCTGTTAGGATGACCTTGGTTCCCACAAGAAAACTTTTTGTTTTGACTATTAGCAAGCCTATCTATTTCCCCCTCCCTTCCCTCTCTCAGAGTTTGTGGCAACTATGAGGCTTCAGCCAGGTTCGCTTCAGAGTTGACATACATATATATACACACTAAAGCTGTCTTACCTCCAGGATCACACAACACAGTCGAAAGAGTTGCAAAGACAGCACAGCAGCCATTCATCACAATAATCTAGACAAATGCCAAGTTGCAGTTAACAACATTGGTAATCATTTGAAATACTAAGGGACCAGTCTAAAAACTATCACATCATGGTTTTAGATAGTATCTAATAATCCTTATGGCATTACAATGTCATTAAATTAAATATAATTAAATTAATTATATTTAATTATATAATTAAATATAATTAAATTAAATTATAAATTATAAAATGTCTGATAGATTATAATGTTATTTGAAATTATTAAGGGCTACAGGTAGTCCTTGCTTGCTGACCACAACTGGGACTCGCAACTCCATTGCTAGGTGCCGCGGTGGCCAAGTGAAAAATCATAACACGTGCCTATTTTATGATGTCACTTCCACTTTCATTATTAAATAACTACAGTCATTAAGCAAGATATCACATGACCACAATTCACAATTTCATTTCTGTGTTCTCTATAAATTTTGCTGGTTTGTGAAGCTTGCAAATGGTGGTCATGGAATGGTATGACAGCTATAAATGCTGGTTGTGAAGCAACCAATTGGTGATCATGTAACTGCAGGATGCTTTGACAATATTTAATGTGAGGATTGGTCGCAAAGCTGGTTTTGTTTTTACCAACCATTATAACTTTGAACAGTCCAGGAAGTCAGTAAGCAAGTACTACCTCTAAACTAATATTTCCACATTGTGTAACAATCGATAGGCAGTCATGGAGAATGCTATACTAATTTGATAGGAAAGTATGCTAAATAGGTAATGTGACGGTACCAGAGTTAAGAATGAAGATAATTCAAGCAAACAGAACATTTTCAGAAATGTTAAGAAGCCTGAATATTATTTCCAAATTATCATTATAAATATATCTATACTGGGACTGATTATCTGAAGAAGTTAGGAATCTAAAACTTATCTAAACAATTTAACATTGGTTTGAGCATAAAAATATTGTGATATATCCCAGCATATTTTCCAAACCAATTTAAAAGTAATAAATTTAATCAACTTTGTTAAAAATGACATTTTAGATAAGTTTCATCAAATGTTATCAACTATGAAGAAAGAAAAAAAATATCCTTGCATCTTACATGTTCTGGATCTAATGGTACTGAAGCATTTGCATATTCAGTAAGAAATTTGGCAATTTCTTCTCGGAAGCTAAAATTTAAAATTAATATATTTCCATAATTAACAAATTAACCAAATAATTTGCCACAACATTTTCATCTATTGTTATATGAAAAATCATACAGATAGCATTCAAACAATATATGGCAGGTTTTATCTGTTGAGCATAAATTTGATATACTGATTTTTATTTCAGAAAGCTTGATTTTAAATCTAGCAAAAAGAAGAGCCTGTAGTACAGTGGACTAAAGCACTGTTATTAACATCTGCTGCTTGCAATTACTGCAAGTTCAAATCTCACCAGGCTCAAGGTTGACTCAGCCTTCCATCCTTTCAAAGGTAGGTGAAATGAGGACCCAGATTGTGGAGGCAATAAGCTGACATTGTATAAATATACAAAAGTATGAAGGCTATTGCTTAATGCACTGTAAGCCGCCCTGAGTCTCCGGAGAAAGGCGGCATATAAATTAAAGAAAAAAAAAAAAATACTCAAACAGTAATTAAAGTAAGAATTACAGTATAAGGAACACAATTTTATTTTAAAGTTGTTTGATCATAGATACCACCAAGAATTTGGATGAGAAAGTATTCCATGTTTAGAAAGATCTCATCCCAGAAGTATCAACTAAGTCCTAAGAAACTTTTCTAAGACATTGGCAGCTCACATCAGCAAGAATAGAGAAAACTTAAATTTTGCTTCATTTTCCCTCCTCTTTGAACCATCAGAAGTGAAAATATCTGTTACAGCATGATGTAGAAGTAAAACAAAGAAGAGCAAGAGATTACTACTCATGGATTTTTCAAAAGCATACTGAGGATGTTACCACAACTGCAGTTCTGAAAAATCTCTTGCAAAAGAAGGCCAAATCTTTCTGATCTCTTCAAATAGCAGTCATAGTGATACTCATAATGATAAGTATCATAGTGATAAGTACAATAGTTGTCAAATTTAAAATCAAATTTTTGGAACATACGAGAAATATATTTTCAGAAAAAACATTGAAGACATGTAATTATTAATTTTAAAATATTATGGTTTTTAATCATTTTTTTATGAATAGCCACTATTAAAAGTTCAATAATAGTTATTGAACGGTCATAGTCATTATTATAATTGCATAATGTAGAATAGGGCTGAAAAGCTGCTTAGGCTTCAAATTTGATGATGATAAATTAGAATGTAAACTGAAATCATCATATTTTTATCCAGCCTTTAATTTCAATATATCCACATTAAGAAAACCCACCAAACATTACTATTAGGAAATAATGGAATAGTCAACGGAATCCCGCCTCCCTGTCTTTTATTGTGTATCACACACATTGTGAAGGTAGAAATAGAAACCATACATTGTACCCTTTGGATTCCAGTTGGAATTAGAAATATAAATTAGTTAATTTGTTTGAAAACATGTTTTACAAATTGGGAAATGATTCTTCATACTGTACCTTTTAATGCCTTGGGTATCCGAGTATTGGAGTAAATGAGGCTCCAAATAATTCATATCAGGTTTCGAAAGCTATCCATTGTTATAAAGAAAGGGAGACAATACTTCTTATAAGTCACTTGATTCTATTGATTTACAGGGTCTTTTTAATACGGAAATTATCTCACTTACATGAACTCAGTTGATCTTACTTTTTTATAACTATATAGAACTTTACAAACTAACCTACAATTATATTCCATACATCAATTATCAATAGGAAGAAATTACAATACAGCAAAGAATGTGTGTCTATGATAATTATCTTTTTCCAATATTATTAGATTATTTAAACATAGTAAATCATAGCCACCAATCTGTCAAATATTTCTAAAATTTAGAAACCTGCACATTTAATAAGAATCCAAACTTACCCTTTCCTGTAGTAAATCAAAACAAAGCTTGTTCTCGCTTGTTCCAAAATTCAAAATGCCCTGAGAATAAAAGTAACAAATTCAGCACGTGACCAGTAACATCTTCTATTTCCATATGGCAAAATTTTAAAGGAATAAATTTTCGCATCAGAAATGTTGATCTACTAAACCAAAGAGCAATATGAAAATAATTTACGAATGTTTTATATTACCTGCCATAGGTGACAAGAAGCAATCAGTTATCTGATTCTCAAAGATAGCCAGCATTACAGGTAGACCTCAACTTACAACCACAGTTGAGACCAGAATTTATGTTGCTGAGAAATTTGTTAAGTGAATTTTGTCTCATTTTATGACTTTTTTTGTGACATTTGTTAACTGAATCACTGCAGTTGTTGAATTAGTAACATGGTTGTTAAGTGAATCTGGCTTCCCGATTGACTTTACTTGTCAGAAGGTCGTAAAAGGTGGTCACATGACCATTGGACACTGCAACCATCATAAATATGAACTAGTTGTCCAGCATCTGAATGTAAATCACATGACCATGGGGATGTTACAATGGTAGTGAAAAATGATCGTACGTCACTTCTTTTAGTGCCATTGTAACTTCCAATGGTCACTAAATGAACTGTTGTAAGGACTATCTGTATTTACTTTGTGCATTTTAAAATCAACTTATATAACTTTTCTTTTCCCTTCCCTACAAGCTTTTGCATAGACAATGCTGTCTTATGTATAGGTTCGGTAAGTATGTTCCAGTCCTAGACAACTGCTTTGCTGATTAAGAACATAGTGGATGTCAGACAAGGAAATAGTGGAACCAGACTTGATATTGAACCAGACTTGCATGATACTTAAGCTGAGCTGAAACAAACTGCAGCTGCTGCCAGTTCTCTCTTCTTGAATTTCTGGCTTGTTATAGCAGTTTTGCCTAGCCTGGTCCCTTTGAGATAATCCTACCATAACCACAATGGGAATAGAAATTCTACAAGTTTCGAAAGCACTAATTTGGGAAAAGCTGCAGTATTCATGGGTTTGCATCTTTTGGTCTTGAAAAGTGCTGCACATCTTATTCTGATAACTTGGAAGTAAAATAACTGCCTTATTTCTCCACTTCTAGAAAGAAAAGCTAGAGGTGCTTAAATCTCACATTTCCTGGCCTTTCTTTTGCCTTTACTCACATCATCTGGGGTAACTGAAACATCATTTCATTCCCTTGCCACTTCCCATCATTTATTTCTTATAGATATCTTTGTTCCCCAAATAGTTCAAAGCCATTATCTTCCCCCTGGTTCATTTGATTCACCCAATATCCTTACACCTGAACATGCATCGTTCATTCTAGCTTTTCCACTACCTACACACAACCCTCCCCTCCCCAAATTCTTCTTAAACTTCCGATAAAGCCCAGTCACCTTATCCAACCTGCTTACTCTTTTGTTTTCCCATCACATTACAAAAACATGGATTCACACATCTCTCTTAAATCTCAGCTTCCCTTGTTTCCTTGAAAATGTTATACCTTCTCGCCAAGAGCCCTTCCAACCGTAAGCCAGGGACCTCTGAAACCAACCTTTGGGACAACCATGACCTGGATGACTGAGAATCTCTAAAGATTCTTTTAGCTATACAATTTGAGATGAACACCCTTTGAATGGTGTGGGAGTAGGAATGGATTTCCAGGGGAAAAAATTGCAGACTACAGGAACCATTTGCACTACTCAGGTGACCCCGAGGACACAGATAAACCTCCAACTGCTTCAAAGACCCTCTAAAGGGATGCAATGACCAGCTGTCTGCAAGGAATATAAATCCTTCCATTCCCCATTATCCTGTCAGAGCTGAAGAAGCTTCTTAGATGAGAAGTGAAACGTCTTCAAAAGAAAAAAACAAGAAAGTCCAGTTGCCTCCTGAAAAAATCACCTTTGGGACAACCATGACCTAGATGACTGAGAATCTCTACAGACTCTGAAACCTACCTACTATTTTATTTCCACAGAGGCTTTTCTTGAGAGAAATCTCCACTTAAAGATCATCAAGAAATCCAAATGCAATCCTTTTATTGCATTAACAGAGGGATACAATCAAGATCAAGTGAGGTACTAATACCACTCTATAAAGCCTTAATAAGACCATACCTAGAGTACTGCGTCCAATTTTGGTCACCACTATAATTTTGGTGATCACACTATAAAAGATGTTGAGACTCTAGAAAAAGTGCAGAGAAGAGCAATCAAGATGATTAGGGGACTGGAGGCTAAAAGATATGAAGAATGGTTGCAGGAACTGGGCACGGCTAGTCTCGCCTTGACTACTGCAACACTCTCTACATGGGGCTCCCCTTGAAGAGCACCCGGAGGCTCCAACTGGTCCAGAACGCAGCAGCACGGGTAGTGACGGGAGCAGCATGGCGCTCCCATGTAACATCGCTCCTGCATGAGCTGGCTCCCGGTGGTCTTCCTGGTGCGCTTCAAGGTGTTGGTTATCACCTTTAAAGTGCTCCATGTCATAGGGCCTAGCTATCTTTGAGACCGCCTGCTGCCACCGATGACCTCCCATCGACCCGTGCGCTCCCACAGAGAGGGCCTCCTCGGGGTGCCATCAGCCAAACAGTGCAGGCTGGTGACCCCCAGGGGGAGGGCCTCCTCTGTGGGGGCACCTACCTTCTGGAATCAGTTGCCCCCAGAGATAAGGAGAATCCATGACCTCAGTGCCTTCCGCCGTGCCCTTAAAACCTTTTTTTTCCAGCAAGCCGGGCTGGCCTAATTTTTTTTGTTTTTTTTTAAGTGTTTTTAATTGTTTTGTTTATCGTTTTTAATTAATGGGGCCAAATTTATATATATATATTTTAACTGTATTTTAATATTTGTATTTGATGTTTTTACTTGGCTGTTCACTGCCCTGAGTCCTCAGGGAGAAGGGCGGTATACAAATTCAAAATAAAATAAAATGAAATAAAATAAATAGTGAAGAGAAGGACCAGGGGAGACATGAGAGCAGTATTGAAATATTTGAGAGGCTGCCACAGAGAGGAAGGGGTCAAGTTATTTTCCAAGACACCTGAAAGCCAGACAAGGAATAATGGATGGAAACTAAACAAGGAAAGATTCAACCTGGAAATAAGGAGGAATTTTCTGACAGTGAGAGCAATCAACCAATGCAGGGGTCTGCAACCTTAAGCACTCAAATAGCCATTTGGACCCGTTTCCCATAGAAAAGAAAACACCTGGAGCCACAAAACCTGGGTGGGCGTGGCCAACTCGATGTCACTCACTTCCACCAGTCACATGACCCCCCCCTAGCCACGCCTACCCAGCCGGTCATTAGGGCAGAGAACCAGTTGTTAAAAAACACCAGGAACCACAAAAACCTTTTGACATCTCTGTCTCTCCCCTCCCTCCCCATCCTCCTCTCCCCCTATCTCTGTATCTCTCTGTCTCTGCCCTGCCCACTTCTCCATCCCTTGCTGCCACCTTTACCTTCTCAGGCCAGGCAAGGAGTGACTAGGAGAGGAGGGTGAGGGGTCAGGCCAGTCAGTGGTGGGATCCCCTGACAGGGAGCCACAGCAGAGGGCCCAAAGAGCTGCATGCGGCCCTGGAACTGCAGATTGCTGACCCCTGAACCAGTGGAACCGAAGTTGCCTTCGGAAGTTGTGGGAGCTTCATCACTGGAAGCTTTCAAGAAGAGGCTGGACTGCCATTTGTTAGAAATGATGTAAGGTCTGCTTGGGCGGGAGTGGGGGGTTGGACTAGATGACCCACAAGGTCCCTTCCAACTCTGTTAATCTGTTAGCCATCCTCAAAGACGACTTTTGTTTTCCCCTCCCCGAGCCCAACGTGATATGATGCGGCGCAAATATCCCAGGGCAGAGATCCTGCAAACCGTCGAGAGCGGTTCGAAACGTCGCGGTCACCTGAGGGTTTTGGTCCGCGTCGAAAGGGTCGTCGAGGTACCTATCGAAGCCTTTGTCCAGGAGGCCCTTGGTGCCATCGGCGATGCGGGCTCCGCGAGCGGATAGTTCTCCCTGACCGGGTCCTTCGCCGCCGCCAACGCTTGGCAAGCTTCCGCTGAAGTCGGTCATCCTGCGGCGGGGAAAGACGAAGGGCGAGGGCCTTGCCGGCCCGCTTGAGGATAACGCACGAAAGGAAGGAGTCAGTGACGGCGATGACACGTAAAGATGAGGCGACTCCGCCTCAGAAGCGGTGACGGCTCGTCTCAGGATGAACGCCTTTTTGAATGGCCGAGCCGGGTTTCTTTCCCGCCCAGTGGGCGTGGCCGAAGCTTCCGATTAGCCCGCCCCCTCACCTCTCGGCCTCGCTTCGTGGGGGGGTGTTGTCCCTATTTGTCCGTCCTGTGGAGACGCAGCGAGATGCTACGCAACGGGACGGCTTCTTCCCCGGCTTGTCTCTTCTGTTGCAGGGGGTGGGAAGTCTACCCCACCCAGATTAGTTCTTTCCTAGTCATAAGAGAATAAATGACACCTCCACCACCCTCAGCACTAAGAAAATACTGTAACTTCGTGGAAACCAGGCGCTCTTGAAATGGGTCGATCAACTTTGCAAAGCCTGAAGTTACATTTCGAGCATCTGATTGCTGGATTACGGTTGCTATATTTGGTTGCATTTATTGTCAGATGCGACAACTCGAGCTGGCAAGGAAAGGACAAATGCATATCATATATACATTTATTTTTGTCATATAGTTCCAAGAGGAGGGGGATTGGGAATACTTTCAGGTGTTTCTAAATTCTTCATTTAAATTAAAAATTGTCAATGGTACAAGAATGTCTAGAAGATAAGGAAAAGATAAGCAGAATAGGCGGATTCCCAATCTTCACTTGTAGCTTTGAGAAGGAGGTACCCAGTTTGTGGGGGCAATAAGCTGACTTTGTATAAATATACAAAAGTATGAAGGCTATTGCTTAACGCATTGTAAGCCGCCCTGAGTCTCCGGAGAAGGGTGGCATATAAAACAATTTTTTTTAAAGAAAAGGTAGTAATTTAATCAAGAACAAATATTGACTGAAACATAATTAATTGCACTATACAATTAATGGTTAAGTAGAGGATTGCATTCTTGCTTTGTAAAATATACTTTTTTATATTTTAAATATTTGATTTTTTCCAGAAAAAAACATTACACAATTTTGCACTATACAAGGACCTAATCCCTCAATGTTCAGTAACTGTATTTTAAGCAAGTTGGAATGAGCACAGAAACCTAGATAGAAATAATATTGATGGGACTACAAATCTCAGCTTCTGAACCGTATTAAAAATTTACCAGATTACAACTATTCTTAGAAATAATGGTTTAATTATATTACATTATAAGACTTTATCAATGCTGTCTGTTTTGTGTTTTTATACTACTGTGTAACAGTTTCTATGTGTACAGCACACACACAGAGATATATTGTAAACAAACCAAAATTGTATTATCGCCTGATTTTATCATTATTAGAACAGTCTAGGTAATAATTATTGATAATTCCAAATATACCATAAGCAGCTTTGTTGAATCACTAGGCTAAATAAGGCAATTTTGTTGAATCACATCTAAAGTTTCTTAAGTTCAACCAACACTAATCCTTTCCAGTTTGAGCTAGCTGGCTTGTTTTTGGAAACTGGCAAAGCTCAACATAGCTAGTGTAAACAGATACCTATCTTGCATGATAGACAATTCCGTTGGTTAGTTACATAACTGACTAGGAAAAATAATTCCCATAGGAGTAGGAAAAGTATACTTAGCCTGCTGTCCTTGAAGAATACTAGATTAGGAATGATAAGAAAATCCCTGACAGGCATGAAAATAGGGAACACTGTAGAATAAAATAAGTGGAATTATTATTTGCAGTGAATAAACTTTTACAGCCAATTAAAAATTTTCAAGACTTGCTCTTATTTGCTACTGAATAAAAAGGTGGTTTATAGTTTAGAGATCTCAAAGGTGCTTTTTTCAGAAGGCAATTAGATTAGAAGGATTAGTTCTATCCCTTTGAAAAAAAGTACCTTTGAGACAATTGTGAGCTGGATCTCTGACAATCTCCACAGATATTTAGATTAGAGACTTTTATATAATCTATAATCTGATCAGAGATTAATCTGAAATCTAAAATCCTTTAAGAATTACTCAACTAGCTAACAAAAAGTCCCCCTTTTTATAATCTTTCTATGGAATTGAGTTTGCATGCTTCCTACCAATAAGGAATTGCAATTTAACCAGCAAATCAGCTAAATATCTAACAATCTGATATCATTGCAAAATATCCACAAACTATAACCTTAAAAGCATTAAGATTATCACTTGGTAAATTTGAGAATATGTATCAAGAAAAGGAGAGATCAGAAGAGCATCTATGAATGCTGATCCTGCAGGAGCTATAGGAGACAACATTTTTGTTCTCAGCAGTGGCTAAGCCTTTCACAAGGACATTAAACCAGCCAAATTCACTTTCTAATTATATTCAGAAATGTTTAGCTATTTATAGATATTGGATATCTTCAAAACACCTGGGTTTCTAATTTATGAAAATTTAAAAATAGATTTAAGCATTTATAGTAATACACACCATATAATAATAAATAATACACAATTGCAAAAAGAATTTTTTTTGTTTTAAGAAAGTGTTAAAAAAGATTGGAGACCAGAGAAAAAATGGAGTTTTAGCTATTTTGCTATAAAATTTGAAAAACAAATATATAATTAAATAATACTTGAGGGAAATAACTGAAATGGAACTAAACCCATATTAATGAGACTTGAGAAAGTTTACAGATGAGAACTAGAAAGAATTAAATAATCAGGCAGAAAGGAGTTAAAATGACTAATTTGGAAATAACATTTTTTTTAACTGAAACAGTTTATTGAAATATGAATCTTGGAAATGATAAAAGATTTCAACTGATAAACTTTTAGGAAATGAGAAAAAGTTTAAAAAAACTTATCTGACATATAAATAGCGTTTGAAGGCATGGAAGACAAGTCAAGAAAAAGTTCTAGATATAGAATGGCATGTTAGATGGCATGTTGCTAGAAGGGGGTTAAGGGGTTTCTTGGGAAAATTTTTAGAGAACATTTTAAGGGGTTCCGGGAAGGGGGTAGTTGGTTATGTGGAGAAATCTGGGGGGATCCATATAGCCACAGGGAAGCACAGCTGGTCTGATGGTCGTGGCGGGAGGGACGGGGTTGGGAGTACGGATGGGGTGCAGGGGGATAAGGGTGAGGGCTGTTTGATTAGTACTGTGGGTGGGAGGGGCAGATATGGTGAAAGCAGGGGGGCATATCAGGTTTCGGGAGTGCGCACTCACTGTTTGTGACCGATTGCGCACTCCAGCCCCCAATGCATTTCTCGTTCCCCGGGTTGCACAGACCCTCAGGGCCTGGGCCTCAGGCTGATGCTGTGCAACGCCAGGTCCATGATAAATAAGGCCCCCCTCATTTACGATCTTGTTCAAGAGGGGAGTGCTGACCTGGCGGGTATTACAGAGACCTGGTTGGGCTGGGAGGGGGGTTTCCCCTCGTGGAAATGTGCCCGCCAGGCTTCTGTGCATTCCATCAGCCGAGGGCTCAGGGTAGGGGCGGGGCGGCGATTATTAAGGAAAGTTTTTGTCTGAGGGAGGCCACTGTGCCTCAGATAGCCGGATGTGAGTCCCTCCTTGTGAAGTGGGGTTGTGGGGTGCAGATGAGCTTGCTGATTGCGTACCTGGCTCCCTGCCCAAGCTGTTCAACCCTAGTAGTCGGGGTGGCGGTGGATACCCCCAGACCTATGGTCATTGGGGATTTCAACCTACCATCCATTGGTGAAACGTCAGAGGCGGCTCGGGAGTTCATGGCCTCCATGATGGCCATGGACCTGACCCAGTTAATTCAAGGCCCACACACACAGGGGGATACACTCTGGATCTGATTTTTGTCTCTGGTCAGTGGCTGAATGATCTAGAAATAGGGGATATAGCCATCAAGCCCTTGACATGGTCAGATCATTCACTCCTTCGACTAGACTTTCGAGCCGCTACTCTCCACTGCAGGGAGACGGAACCGACTAGGTGGTTCTGTCCCAGGTGCCTGATGGATCCGGATAGGTTCCTGACGGAGCTTGGGCCATTCCCTGAGGCTCTGGTTCATGACTTGACTGAAGAACTGGTGGCCACCTGGGATAGGGTGGCCACTGGAGCTTTGGACCGCGTCGTGCCTTTGCGGCCTCTGACTCGGGGCCGATCTCAATTGGCTCCCTGGTTTTCCGAGGAGCTGAGGGAGATGAAGCACCGGGTTTCTTCCCTCCCCCCTGAAAGAGGCGGTGGTGAGGCCCCTCCTCAAGAAGCCTTCCCTGGACCTGGCTGTATTAGCGAACTATCGTCCAGTCTCCAACCTTCGCTTCGTGGTGAAGGTTGTTGAGAGTGTGGTGGCGCGACAACTTCCCCAGTACCTGGATGAAGCTGTCTATCTAGATCCGTACCAGTTGGGTTTCAGGCAGGGGTACAGCACGGAAACGGCATTGGTCGCATTGGTTGATGATCTCTGGAGGGCTCGGGACAGGGGCTGTTCCTCTGTCCTGGTCCTATTAGACCTCTAAGCGGCTATTGATACCATCGACCATGGTATCATGCTGCGCCGATTGGAGGGGTTGGGAGTTGGGGCACCGTGTTGTGGTGGTTCTCCTCCTTCCTCTCTGTCTGTATGCAGTTTGTGTTGGCAGGGGGACAGAGTTCGACCTCGAGGCACCTTGTTTGTGGGGTGCCGCAAGGGTCGGTCGTCTCGCCTCTTCTGTTCAACATTTATGTGAAGCCGCTGGGTGAGATCATCCGTGGTTTTGGGGTGAAGTTCCATCAGTACACTGATGATAATCAACTGTACATCTCCACCCTGGACCACCCCAATGATGCCCTTGACGTGATGTTCCATCAGTATGCTGATGATACTCAACTGTACATATCCACCCCAGACCACCCCAATGATGCCCTTTATGTGATGTCCTGGTGCCTGGAGGCCATGCGGATCTGGATGGGGAGAAACAAGCTCAGACTCAACCCTTCCAAGACCAAGTAGCTGTGGTTTCCGGCGTCCCGGTATAGCCAGTTGGCTCCATCGCTGACTATTGGGGGTGAGATCTTGGCCCCCTCAGAGAGGGCTCGCAACTTGGGTGTTCTCCTGGATGCCCGGATGTCTTTAGAAGATCATATGA